GTTCGTATATATATATGTTACTGACTGATAAGTTCGTATATATATATTGTTGACTGATTGATAAGTTCGTATATATATATTACTGACTGATTGATAAGTTCGTATATATATATATATTGTTGACAGATTGATAAGTTCGTATATATATATTGTTGACTGATTGATAAGTTGTATATATATACATATTATTGACTGATAAGTTCGTATATATATACATATTATTGACTGATAAGTTCGTATATATATACATATTATTGACTGATAAGTTCGTATATATATATATATATATTATTGACTGATGTAAGTGTATCGGTTTTTAGTTTTAACCTGGTTACATACAAGATTTGATTTAGTATTATTCTTTTCAAACAGCGGAAGAGCCGTGTGAGCTGGGCTGCGAAGGGCTTGGTTATTGCACCAACTTCAATTATCGGCCTACACAGCTGTTTCGGAGCTGCACCATTGGAGCAGATCGTGCCGCGCGCAGTGACGTGGGCCTGTGGCGTGAAGGTGTAATCCGTTTACCTTTAATAGATATACCAGTACTAGATATTAGGTCCTGCTTCCCGGAGACTTGGAAGGCCATTGCTTGTGTTTTGCAAATTAAACCTTGCCACCAGAGGTCGCATGTTAACACGATTTGCAAGTAGGTTGTTCTCTTTGTTTAAAAGTTTTCACACATTTTGTAAGTTTATTTATTCGTAAATGATTTAAAGTTTGGCATTTTAATTTTCAAAAAAAATTCTTAGTTTCTGCTGAAGAGTTTCCACACGTTGTTAACACACGAATAATACGTTGTTTGGATTTGTGAGTAAATCCACATTTAAAGTACTATTACCATTACAAAAAAGGTAAGGGAAGTGTTTTTGTGAAAATGTTTTAATTTCAATGAAAAAGCAGTCTTCTGTGAATATGGAGTTCTGATATAGTTTATATCAGCAGAGACTCGTAAAACATTTGCGATGAAATTAGTATATTTATTGCAACAGTATTTCTTTAAATACAGGATTTCTACAATAATATAAAATAATTCTAATCGCAGACACTGAAATCTATAATTCCACTTGTCTTAGGCCTAACATTTGTTAAGCCTTTATTAAGTACATCCTATATTCGAAAAATGGATAAATTTACACTATAACTTGTGTACGTTTTTTGCTTTAGTTTAGTTATGGCCAAACTTTACCCTATATAACACTATCAATCAATAAACTTATAATGCCATTCTAAGACTTAACGTTAGACCTTTATAAAAACTTTGATAAGCTTTTACAATGTTGTTGTACAAAATGTTTACTGAGTATATTTACCTCCTCCTTTTGTTTACATCCGTCGAAATGAAGTGTGAGCATGCGCATTATATGGTAAAGTTCGTGCGCATTTTCAGGACAGATAAAACTAAGTATTATTATTATAATAGATGCAATCGTGTTTGCTAGTGTGACGGGAAAGATCGAGGGTGAATTTAACACTGACAAGATTCAGAAGAATGTTTTCTAAACCAAGTGGAACGCTTGTTGAGTTCCTGAATAATAAACAAAATGGCGTCGTTACACACGTCCAATTGGATTCTCAAAAATAAGTTACTCCTGACCTTGGAATGTAACCAGGGGTAATTTCCAGATTATGTACAACAGTAGTTTCCAAACTTTAAATAGCGGCATCCCTTAAGTCCCGTTGCGCCCCCCCCCCCCCCCGTTCACATTAAAATAATTTTCGCAAATGATAACACCAAAATCAACATTATCTCTGCCTGTTTTTAATACATTTTTTAATGAAAAATGCTTGAAAAGAGTGAATAAATGCAAAGAAAAAAAAAGCTTTGAGAGCAAATTGATAGTTTTGTTAGATTATCGTCGTCTCTAACTCTTCTGTCGTTATTTTTGGGCTCTCCCGTCAAAACACCGCGGCCCACAGTTTGGGAAACACTGGTGTACAACGACCATAGACAACGCTCGAAGCATGATAGGAATCATGGTAGAGTGAGCCAAGCTACTGAGGTGAACACAATCCAACGATTGGTGAGACACCTTATCAACCTGTGACCTTAAGGCTTAACCACTACCATGTCATCGACAAGCTTCAGCACAATGGTGTCACGACAGTCTCATATAACAACGAAATAATTGGTTTCATCAAGTATGATGATTGGGCAACAACTGAAAATGATAGGATCTGGGGGGAAGGGGGTTCTCTAATGGCAACTGATACAGTAGATGTATTGGTAAGTACATCATCAGAAATAGATTGTATGTACTGTGCGTTATAGTAATCACTATCAGGTCCTTCTTTGATGTATTGAAACTGATTTCACTCTGATGAAAAATGGCCGTTCCCGCCGTGCGTGTATAGCCGCTCTCTACCTTGAAGAAATCAAAATATTGTGAACATGAACTGGTCATCATTCTTTCCGAAACATAAACTACAGAACGCATCTGCAGCTAGCTCGAGACACTCATTTCACGTTTACTCCACCTAACAGCTGGAACGCGAAACATTGCCCAGGTGCTTAATAGTTTGTAAACTATAATTTAGACTACTAACAAAATGTATCTCAATAATTTGCTGGTCGCTGATTTATTTTTCGTCATATATACAGTGTGATAGGGCAAGGCTGTGATTGTATTTCCTTCTTTGTTTGTTATCCTAAGTAATAAAAATAGATATTGTTACGTTATATACAAATTACAGTTTGTTTGTTTGTAATTATGCACAAAGCTACACAAGGGCTATCTGTGCTCTGCCC